GTGGCCAAGTGGTTAGAATGTTAGCATTCCAATTATGAAACCAGAATTTGAATTTCACCATGGCCATTCTTTCAAGTAGATGACTTCTTTATGTTGTTGGACTGGGGAGATGATCCCAACATGTGATTGGGATCTGCCTGAAAGTCATACAATGGATTGGGCTAAGCCTTATGAGTGAAATTGTGCAGACAACTCTATTTGGAAGCCATGAATGGTTGTGCAGTTATGAAGTCACAATTGATTGTGACAGGTTTGTAACTACTAGGCATGTTCAACTGCTAATCACAACAGATTATATGCTCTTTCCCTAAAACTGTAAATAAATCCCACTCAGCATATTGTATGTATATGTGTGTGTGTGTATATATATATATATATATATATATACACACAAACCAATATTAAAATCTAAAAAGTGTAGAGTAAATTCCTGGTTGAGGAAACCGACTACTACTAATCATTGATCTCTCATCCCTATCTGTACCCAACCCCTCTCTCTCACCTTCCCTCCTCACTACCAAATCTAAAGTGTTAGCCTGGTGTAGTTTCTCTATTTGTGGAGCAGGTTTTCATTCTGAGGAGATGAACATTTCTGTGTTCATGAAAAAAAAAATATAAACAAAATGGATAATTAAAGTCTCGGTCATCTTATCATTATATATATATATATATATATAATTCACTTGAGGATGAAATGGAACTAATGTCTTTAATTTAATTACAAAATTAAATTCAGAGCTTTTAGCTTCCATTTTTGAAACATGGTTAGAAATGTGTAGTGAAAAAAAACATTTTAAATCAATTAATTTATAATATTAATGCTCTATAAATTTACAATTCTACACTTGGTTTGAAAACCTCTAAGATTATCAGTTTTATTTATTTTCTCAATAGCTGTTTACAGATCCCTGATGTTTTTTTTTAATGTTGTCACCCTATAAAAGGGCCTAAGGTTGCTGAAAATAGAGAACAAAGAGGTTAAGATTGTAGGGATCAGGGAAGCACCCTCTCAGGAATCCTTTCCCCAAAGTTGCACGTATTAGGAAGACACTGTCTGAATGGAGCTATCTAAACAGTGGAATACAAAAGTAATGAGTATGATTCAAGCCTGAAGATTTATCATGGCAGTTCTTGACTGTAAAGGTCTGAACTGGCGGAAACAAGGAATGCAACTCTTCATATCTCATGATATTTGTAGATACAGGAAATATGTGAATAGTCCTTTCCATGATGTCCCATAAATATTTGATTGGAGTCATGTCAAGTGAATGTAGTTGCCATATCACAAATCAGAAATCCTCAGAGTACTCCTGAAATCAGCTCTCAGTAACTATGGCTCCATGAGGTGTCATATTATTCTGCTTCAGTATGAATAGTAATATTAACTATTTCCTTATAAGATAAAATTTCAACATTCATTGACCAAGCAGCCAGTGCTACTTTTGAATGAAATTTTTTAACTCTTTTTGTTAAAACAATTTTTCAGGAAAATAGGTTTCTCAAATCCAGTAACTGTTATTGATCTTTCCAGTATTGATACTCACAGGACATACTGAAGGCAAGAGAGACAGAGAAAAACAGTAATGGAGAGTTCTTTGAAAGGTTAGCTTATTAATGCGATTTAGAGGTTGGTTGGCTGTGACCAATCTGTACATGTCACATAGAGTTATATTTGAACACCAGGAAGACATATATATATATACAGGATGAAGGCATCCAAATGCTGAAACCTGACAAAAGATTAAATTTTATCTATCATCAATTTTAATGTCTTTTTTTGTTTTTTTTTTTCTTAAAGGAAAATGATAGTTATCATATCTTTGGAAGAAAATGGATGGTAGATCAGGGTTTAGGAGAGATAACAAGAAGACACACTAAGAGCTACAAAGGACAGGAAATTGTGGAGAGTCATGATCACAAGCATACTGAAGAGCATAGAAGAAAACCTTGTGTATTGACTGCAGATGTGATTTGGGCTGGCATTGCTTGTTACCAAGAGAAATTTTTAGCTAGACATTTCTGGTCATGATCATTAAAGTTTATTTTTTATTTGCATAATTTTTTTTCAATATTAAATTTGCATTTTTATATTGGCCTTTTAATTTCAATTTTTCAAAATATTATTTTTCGTCTTATAGAAACGAGAAAGAATGTACAAGATGTGACAAGATAATTTATCACTAAATAATATATCTATCATATTTTAAACAAAGTGTTTAAAAACCTGATGGTATTAAAACTAATAGCAGTTTAAAATCTGACAAAATGACTAAACATAAGAATTTAGTTAAAATCTCTTCTTGGCTGAGAACTTTTCAGCATTCCTCCTTTTTACAAATTTTGCTCACAAGAAAGCCTATATTAGGCAGTGTAATGCACAGACATTGGAGTGTTATAGTAGTAAGCTGGTACTATGGGTTAAACAGGTTATATTATAAAGTTTTCAGAAGCACGTCTTCAAGTAAAACATCAAATTAATATTTACTGAATGTATTTGATTTGGTAAAAAACTGGGATTATAAAACATAAAAATAAAAAACTATTATAGCTTTCCTAACAAGCATTGGATTTTTGAAAAGGAAAAAATAGAAACTTTGCTGAATCGTGAAAATTTAGGTTCTTTCAGATTCTGGTAGGTAAATGATGCCAAAATTAAAATTCAAGGTCTTCATAAATATTTCTATAAATAAATAAGTTATCTTCCTCTTGCAATATATTTGATATTGTGGGATTTCATACTTTATTTTTTGTTGAATCTCCATATATCAGCTCAGAGATATTGATCTTCAATCCAGCTCTCTCTTGAATAAAAGTGAAAAAAAAAAATGACTTCAGATTGTTATATTTCAATTGGCTCTTCCAAATCACAGGGATTTATTACAACCAATCAGAAGTTTCTAGTCAGAAGATCCCCCCCATTTGATGTTTATCTCATTTTGCTTTTTATTTTCTTATTGCAGGCAAAGGAAGCCAACACTGCAGTTTCATAAATCACAGATTCAAAAAAAAAGTAAAATGGGTGTAAATAAAAAGTAATTTTAATTGAATACAACACTAAATACATATCTTTCCCTCTTTTAATCTGATAGCAATAAATTGATGGAAGATCAAAAGATCTATGGTGCTGGGTAAACGAGGTTCCTTACCAGCTGAATAATTGAAAAATTATCAGCTTCAAAAGTGTGGCTTTTTTAAAAAGTAAAATATCAGCAATATCTAATGACAGGTTTGTAATATAAATTAGTAAAGAAAATGATATCAGTAATCAAAATTCAAATACTTGAAGTTGTTGCTGTTCACTTAACATGAGTGCCATAGGAAAGGCATAAGGCCACATCTCCCTATGCTCTCTCTTGTTACCAACAATCTTCACAAAAACTATCTTGTCTCTTGCTTGCACGAGACATAGTTAACATTTTATAACAGGGTGGTAATCCTGGTTCAATGCTTTTGCTACATCAGGATGCTTATCAATGATCTGGAATAGGAAATAAGTATGATTCAACAGTGAAAAAAATACAGGGAAACTAATGAAGTGTTTAGAATAAGGAAAGAAAGAATGGATTAAAAATAATAATTACAAAGCCGTAAAATGAATTCGGAAAAACATTCAGTAGTATCCAAAGCTTAATTAAACCAAAGAGAATTCATTCAAATTTAGTAAGACAAGATTTCTCCAACCCACTGGCAACCTCCAGAGCAATGTGATTTCCAGGTCTTCTGAAATTTCCCAAATTAGAGAGTATATTCTTAGGTTGTTTACATAAAATACTTATCTCCACAATACTTATTTCATTACTAAAAATCAGGCCCAAAATGATCCTGATTGCATTCTGAAAAAAAGGCCATATGTTAATTGAGCAAAGAAAGTCTTATGGATTATATTGATGTGATATTGAAAATATGAAATAATTCAATGTCAGGTTTGAGCAATTTTCTTTATATAAACACAAGTGGTGCAATGAGTAGAAAAAAATCTGTTTGAGAGAAACAGATCAGGCACATTGAGTTGCTCCTGCTTCTAGCAAACCAGTCACTGCCACCAGGAAACACACTGACACAATTCTTAATTGATAAAAAGTGTGAGAATCAAAGTGCCCTATAACTTTACAAATTACTATCAGAAACCTTTCCTGCCAAAAAAAGTGTCAAATAGAGTTACATAAGATGTTAACAATTCCTTGTGTATCTTTCAATTCTTCTATTTTTCATTAAACCTGTTGTTAGCTATTAACAGAATCTAATGGTTTGTTCTGTGAAATTGGTTTTCAGCAGAGACCAAGAAGTTACCATGGCTTGTTAGGAAATCACATCTGAATTCTCAGTGGGTATACAACACCTATCACTGGACAAAATCACCATCAATTCTAGTTACCTCTCAGCATGCTGATGTCTGCACATGATGGCCATGAAGATCAATAGCATCACCAAGTGACAATGTCAAGAATACTATACCTTTGGTAGTTCTGTAACACTGATTGGTTCTTGATTTGAGAAAGCTACTTTTTCTTCATTTTTATTGCATTTCTATAGTAAAATCATTTGCAATCTCTTTTCAAAAATAAAATTATTAGTAATACATTTTATATATAAAAACCCTATTTTGTCAGTAATGCTTGTATTAATTTCTGTCCACTAACAATCCCTTTCTCATGCTAATGTTACTGTATGGATTTTCATTTTTTCTGATCCAAGTTCAGACATTTACCTTCTTACATCAAAACCAATATAATTCAAGGATGATAAACCATTATAATCTCAAAAAAATTCTTACAATCTAAAAATATTTTCTGACTTTAAATAACCTCCAAAGGGTTGATAAGCCATAGAAAACAATCAATCCATCAATTAAAAAAAAAACCCATTAATAACTATCTATGATTTGATTGAAAACTTCTAGAAAATATTAACATTACAGATTTACCGACAGAGCAGAAATTTTCACTTCTTTATCATCCTTGTATCATTGTGCATGATGACGGAGCCTTTAATAATTGGCTTATGGCCACATCACTTTGAAACACTGCTACCCATACAATCACTGAAGTTAAGCAACATTGAGCCTAGTCAGTAACATGATGGGTGACTGCTTGGGAATACCAGGTTCTGTAAGCTTGGATGTGCAGGTAGTGTAATGGATAATGGCTCGGAATTGTTAATCAGAGAGCCAGTTTCCAATTCCTGATGTGTTTGTTATATTCACCTACACACAAACATCCTTGGGAAAGGTATGACTCCACCTCTTCTGAAAGAAGAAGATGCTACAAAAGTAAAATATTAACCTGAAAACTCAAGTCATCATCTGAAATAGTCATGTCAGACATACTCTCATTTTAATGCCATACATTGTGTCAAGAAATGTCTAAACTATCATCTATAGACAATGATTTTCTTATATAAATGATTAAAAATAGTTTCAAATGAATAAAACCATTAGGCTTTAAAAAAAAAAGAGACTCTCCTTCATTAGATCTCATAGATTTGCACTACAGAATAACAAAGAACAAAAACCATAACTTGAAGACTTCCAATAGCAGCAACAACTAAAACGGATATTGCATGTAAACAGATGTTGACATTCCACATTATTATGAAGGAAGAAAACCTCAATTAATTACTAGAAAAAGTTATAACAGTGAACTTGAGAAATCTTTTTTTCCAGAAAAACTGTTTTCATAGAAAGAGTTTATGAATTTCAATTGAAGGTAAGGACAATTTTTCAGTCAATGAATTTTGAATGTTTCCTTATATGTCATGATTAATTGCTTCACTCTCAATGATTCTTTATGTTTGGAATATATATTCGGTTTTTAAGTTCACATGTGACATCAAGTGGAACACATATATACAATTAATTGTCAAAGATACTGGAAAAGTTGGTGACTCATTATAACAGTCCAAAAAGCATCTGACTTCTCCTGCCATACTTTGTCATTACAAGAGTCAGATTTGACCAAAAATGGCATATTGATGCCATATCTGACCTGGAGTTGCTCAATCATCACTTTCCGGCCATGATAGAGTATGAAATCATTTATATGGTCTACTTTGGGGATGACTTATTTTCCACTCTGCAACCTGTTCGTATTGTATCACTATTTACATGGCAAATGAGTTCTAATCTTTAGTCCTACTAATTCAGATCTTTGCAGCTAGAACATGACATGCCACTTCCACAAAGTTAAATCACTCTAATTTCCTCCAGATTCCAAATGTAAGAAGAAAGTTCCATTCATCTTTTCCTCCAAGAACTGTTACTTTATGGAACAAATTCTGGCATAGGCGCTTCCTTACACACTTCAGTACTGATCTTTTCAAGTCATGGTTCAATTGTCTTCTATCCACTTCATTCTGAGAAGTCTTATTTCTTTATACTTTCTCTTCCATTCATATCACACATCTTATTCAATATTACCATTTCGTTAATTGTAATGCACTAGCTTGGGTGTCTTTTGGGCCACGTGCTAGTTGAAATGTTAAACATACTAATAAATTCTGCTAATTTCTCACTGTTATTTACAGAGAATATCTTAGTCTGGCAAAAGGTCATAAATAAATTCACTATATTAGCAAGCTGATATATGAGAGCAGCCTTCTATCCTATGGTAGTTACCCTGATTACAAAGTACAGGTTGACTGGCACAAGGCCAAATAATAAACTACAGATCATACTACATTAGGCACAGTTTGTCACTTGCACATTGCAAAAAGTTTTGGCACCCAGTGAATATTGAATACATTAATCATATCTCCAGTGTGAGTTTTTTTTTTTTTTAAATCATTTCACCCCAAGCAAAGCAATAATTCAACTAAGATGCAAGGGGTTACTGTGTACCAAAGAATGTCAGAAAAAGAAAAAAACATTATTAAAGAGAGAGAACAATAAAAGAACAGGAATTAAGAAGACAGACGATAATGATTGACATTGCATTTAAATTTTTGAAGATCAAAGTTGGCTGGGAAACAAGAAGCCAGAAGAGAGTTCCACAAATAAGAGGTGTGAGAAAAAAAACTGTTACAATAGAACTTACTGTTAACCATTTCAACAATAAAATGGCGAAACCTTGCCATCAATGTGGTACTTAAATTCATAGTCTAAGTACCAAAAAGGAAAGCTCATCGGAACAATTACCATGAAAATATTTATAGGAAAAATACAGGAAAGCTATGTTATGGAGGTGAGAAAGTGATTGAAACCATGATGTCAGCACCAGTAACATTACAGATTCTTTGTATTTAAACAAGAATCTTTAAATAAATAGCAGCAGCAGCAGCAGCACTAGTCAAGAAGTGGCAGCAATATTCAAGACATGGATGAATGGTAGACTTATAAAATTCTGGCAAGAAAAACTGTCTAGCATGACACATTGTATCAACTTTCCTAGCAGTAGACCTAGCAATATAATCTTTCCATTTCATGTCAGCAGAAAACATTAGCCTGAGAAAGAGCAGGGATTTAAACTAAGCTTTTACTAAGAATAGTTGAGTCTGGTACAAGGTTATACTGTGAGCCATACAGTGAAGATTTAATTTATCATACAGTGGTAACAGTCTATTAGAGTAGTTTATTAAATTTAACAATCTTTTGAAGTTCCACTAAATATTTTTCCCATATATATTTTTAGTATATATTTACTTTGTCATATATATGAAATTTGGTTAAAAATCAAACAGAATGCAAAATATACGTCACTTTGAAAAATAAAAAATCATTCCAACATGTTTTGCTGATCAAACAGTATCATCAGAAAAACAGATTTTATTTCAATTAAATCTATACTATCCTGGCAGAACATGTTTTATGTCAAGTGTTCTTACATTTAATGTAAATCATGTTCTGCTGCAATAACATATTTAGTTGAAATGGAATCCAGTTATCTAATGACACAGATCAGAGAAGTGTCTTTTTTTTTAAATTGCTATATATTTATCATAAAGAATTGATGGAATTTATTTTTTTAATCTGATATGTTTTTATTACTTCAAACATTATTTTTAGTGGGTACCCATATTTAAATAGACGCTGCATTTTTTTTAAACAGTGTTTATATCATCTACTATTGATGAAAACTTAATATAGTAGATGTGTCCTCTGGCAGAATTCATATGCTGCCAGAGAACACATTCCTCTTTGCAGCAGAAACCACTGCAGATATGTCTTTTATGACTGACTATGAATGACTGAATATGTTTTAAGACTAATAGAACCTTCTTTGATGATGAAGCTCTTTGTAGCAAAATGGTCAAAGTATGATGGATCAGACAGTGGTTTCACTTGCAAGGGGGTTACAGGTTCTAATCCTGCTGAAGGACCCATTTTATTTATTAGGTTTTCTAGAGTGCCTAGGCTGATAGATGAAATAAATAAAAAAAATTGGATCATCTACTCAAATATGGCTATCAACTAAAAATAATGTTTGAATAAATAAATAAACATGCTGTATATAATTGCATGTCATGCAACTTTTGAAGACCTAGTTTTGAAGTTAATTTTAAGGGTGCCACATCATACACTAGATATAAAATTAGCATATGTACTGCTGGCACTGGCTATGCCATTGACCAAACTATATATCTATTCACTGTAGTCAAATTAGCTTCAAAGATTGCATGATACACCAGCATACACATATATATGTGTGTGTGTGAGAGAAAGAGAGAGAGAGACTGTGTGTAAAATTTCAGATTGAGTATATGTATGAAAACTTCTCTTAGCTGATACATTTTATCCTATGAGGGAATTTATCAAGACAAAATACTCAATGCAATAAAATCCTGGCATTTGCCTTGATAAAATCTTTACAAATGCAAGGATTTATTACACTGAGTTTTTACCTTTATAAAGTCCCTCAGAAGACAAAAAGCATTGGCTAAGCAAAGTTTTCCTCGTGTGTGTGTGTATATATATATATATATATATATATATTACTAGCACATTTAAAAATTCATCATTATTGAGGGATTGAGTATATGTGCTTTGTTCAAATTGTTGTTCATGCCAGATTATACACACACTGCCAGAAACTGTAATTCAGATCTGCTCAGAATAGTTGCAGGATAAACTACATGTTGTCTCTATGGTTATTGAAGAAACAGGTAGGTGTCTGCAACAGGAATTAGCTAGCCACTCTAGCAGACAGACATACTCAAAAACAAGCAGCCAACCAGTATATAATCATTATCTGGAAAATGTTTTAATAGAGGATAGAAAATGTGACACTGAAATCTAAAGATGAATTGGAATAGCAAAATATGCCTTCCATAAGCTAAGCAAAGTATTAAGAAACAAGAAAAAAATCCCCAAAAGACTGCTAAAACCTATGTAATATTTGTCCTTTTACATACTGGACAATTCCCTCATTGATGAAGAAAAGGTTTGAGGCATCAGGATTGTGGTTCTACAGAAGGATGCTATGAATACCCTTGACTGAACACATGAGTAACAAGGTTTTTTGAATAATGGGAACAAAAAGAACAGTTATACGTAGAATGAGAGAGACAGACAATTTCTAGGATACATAATGAGAAAAGAGGGATTGCAGTATTTGACATTCATCAGATGAAGAAAAGACCTGAAGCAAAAGAAATGTGGTTCTACAGAAGGATACTGAGAATACTGTAGACTGAACATGACTTTTAAAGAAAATGAAATTGTAAAGAATGCTTATATTTAGAATCGGAAAGAAAAAGTTGAAATTTCTATGGCACATGATGAGGAAAAGGGACTTGGAGAATTTAACCCCAACAGGACATACTGAAGACATTAGGGACAGAAGAAATAAGTGAGTAACCTACGTAATGATCGTGTGCAAATGAATGGCTGAACTGGGACTGAGAAGGAAAATGAAATGACAAAATTTACTCAAAGATACAAGGAAGAGCAATGATCATCCGCATCCTGAAGGGACATGGCACATAGAAAATGTTTAATAAATCTTACTTCTGATAACATAGGTCACACAAATAGTAACTAATCACTAATTAATTTGGTAAAACCTAGATAGGAAATGTCTATTTAAAACAAACAAAAATAAACAATACCAACTTTTAGGCTGTAATTTAGTGTTTCTTAGTAAAAATTTTCTGCTTGTAAATCAAATAGTTTTGGCTTTT